ATGATAAGGGCCTCCCTGGAGAGGCTGCGGGCCAGGGCCACCTCTGGCAACACGCCGTGCCAGGTTGTTGAGGCTCCTGGCTTTGACGGCGAGGTTGGGGCGGAGGAGCGTTCTGGGGGGGGGCCGCGAAGACGATTTCTGGAATCCCAGACGGGGCCCAAGAAGAACCAAGATGGAGCGGGAGTCAGTCCCTCAAGCGTGTTGGAGGCCATCCGAACTCGAGCTCGTCTGGGAGCCGTCTTGGGCTCTACTGACGGGATGGGTTCGCAGCGGGTGACGTCATGGCGGAGCTTGCGCGGGTGGAAAAAGGAGCCTGAAGTTTCGAACGGAGCTCGCGAACTTAAATTCCACGCGCCCCTCAGCCCGGTGGGCGGGCGGGCACCAGAATCTTATGCTATTCTGCCGCCCCCCACCTCTCATTCCCCCTCCTCCAACTCATTCTCCCGTTCCTCCTCCTCCTCCTCTTCCTCCTTCTCCTCCTCCTCCTCCTCCTCCATCCCCAGACCCCCGACGTCATGTTTTTTTCACAACGTCGATTCCCAGTGGTTTCGATTATTTCCCCAGGACTGCCTTTTCATCGCGCAACCAAACAACTTCCGTCTTGAGTTGTCCACAACGAGTGTTCTGGGTCATTCAGTTTTCGGGCCATAATTCAGGTCTCCGGCGGCCGTTCAGGACGATCTGGGTACCCCTGGAGCGCCATCGGCGAGGTGCAGCTGTTGAAACGCGTCCCGAGGCTGGGAAACCGCCGAGAACCTGCGAAAACCGCTGGAAGCCGTCAATATCGATCCTCGTCCTCCACCCTCCGCATCCTCCTCCTGGGACGTGGGGCACGTGGTTGCCAAGAGCACGCCTGTCTTTGCGGCCCGCAGGCCCGCGCCGCCGCGCCGCCGACCGCGGCGCCTGCGCGGGCGCGCCTCGTCGGCACGCTGAAGTCCTTCTCCGCCGAGACGGGCTGGGGCTTCATCCCAAGAGAACGGGAAGACGACATAGGCATGACAACTCGGAGGTCCGCGTGGATTTCTTGGATCGGCGCTGGACCCCCTTGTGCAGGTAGGACGGAAATTGAACGTAAGCTTCGGCATTCCTTGTTCTATGGAGAAGCATGCACACATCATAACCCGCACTGTCGCCATGAACCCCACCAGCGTTTCTTGATTCACCATATTTGATCAGCGTGACCCCACCCCGAGTGATTTACCGAAAAGTTGAGCAACGTCGCGAGCGTTTGGTAAGTGAGATTTGCGACTCCCGTTCGGCTTGCGCCTGCCCGCAAGTGCGAGTTGCGCTGACCAGAGAAGCGCGCGGCCATCCGCGGGCATCGATTCCTCGCTCCCTTTGAAAGCAAGGACGACGAACCGCAGGATGGGGTGTCGAGGGGCCACGAGGCCAAAAAAATCCAAGTGAACTCGCGAAGGTTATGCCCCCGGTTTCCCGGAAGCCGAGCAGAGAACGCAGGCGGATCACGGAGCAGGGCTGCGCGGCCTCGGCGCGTGCGAAATCAGTTCAGGCTCACAGATTGCGCAAGCGGCAGATGCCAGCGCGATTTGGTACGCGGTGCGTTTCACGCGAAGGAAATTCAACACGTCAAGCAAGCGGCGGGGTCGTGCAGCAGCCACCATCATGTGTCCAGCCTGCCCACCTTTTGACCACGTGTACTTACGAGGTCGTGGATGCGCTGTGGCACCTGCCTGCGCAAGCCGTCGCCGTCATGCTTGGCGTTGACGCACCTGGCCGCCGCCTGGAGTCGCCCTTCGAACTCCTCTCCGGCTTGAGGTCACCATCATGTCAGGCTGCAGTAGAAGAGACCCTTTGCCAGCACCCCTGCACGCCTCAACGCCAGATCGAAGTGCCCCTTCCCTTCAGGACGCGACTCGATGACAGCGGCATCCCTTACAGTAGGACCAAGCCCACAGATCCACGTGTAGAGTCGGCGCATTAGGTACAGCGTCAGTTGTGCATGCGCGCTCAGCAGGGCCACCGCGCAAGTCTGCTTGACCCCCCACCCACCGTCGGCCCGCTGGCGCTGCATCTCCCAGAAGCGAACTACCACACAGTGATCTGCGCAAGCAGCGCTCAAGTCGTACTGGCTCTCGGCCGGAAAAAAACTCCAGCGCCAACCCGACCATTCGGGCAGGCAGCAGTAGCTCGCCACCTTTCCGCCATCCCCAGTACGCAGGCGCGTCTGCCATGGTGGCTGCGCGGGGATAGAAGAGCAACTGCGTGGCCGATTACTAGGCCACTTAGCCCTCCCCTCCCCCCATCGCGCGGTTCTTTACACATGCTGAAAGACAGAGCAGAAGCCAGAGCAAGGGCATCCAAAAGTTCCAGGTGGTAGCGAGGGTTCTTCAAACCGGGGCACGGAGGAAACTTGCGCACAACGCTTCGATTAAGCAGAATGAGCACAACCCTTCAGATCTGCACTCAAAAAACCGAGCGCAACCGCTTGGGAGAGCTTGCAGTCTTTCAGAGGGCGCGCAGAACCGAAGCGTGCTCGTGCCGAGATTTATCAAACTCGGCGCAATTCCCTTCGGGGTTGCTATACTTCTGCTGCAGAATTCGCCGCGTTTCAACAGCCGATCTCATAGGCAAGATATGCTGTATGTTTATCTGGATTCGGGGCCCCGGTGTAAGGGACATTCGAAAGAGGCACAGTCTCTAATCTGCGAAACCGAACGGAACCCTCAATAGGCCCCACATGGCAACCCTAGAATTTTCAACTGGGTTTCCGTCCTGCCTGTGGGGGCGATCCCTGGCGCGCTCCGTGCCAGGGAGGGAGATTCAGCGCCAATCCAAGACATTTGCGCGGACCTCCAAGTTGTCATGTTTCTGTTATCGTTGAGTTCTCTATCATCCGCTGCGCGGCGGTCCCCGGCGACGTATTTGTTCGCCAGGCTCGGTCAAGAACGGAATTGCCCAGATCTCCTTGGCGGTACCCAGATTTCCGAGGACATCATGTGTTAAATCCCGCCGTTATTCCTCGGTTTCGGCGTCTAGCTGTCGTTTCCAGGCCCTGGGGCCGTCCGCCAAACAGAAATCATCGATGTACAAGCGGCACTTGCAATTGGTCGAGACCTTTTGGGAGGGGGGAAATCATGACGTCGGCGGTCTGGTCACCTGGCCTGTGCTGCGCCCCCCTTGGGGTGGGCCCGCCGGCAGTCCAGATCGTACAGAAGGTGCATCAAATTAGAAATGGGCCTGCCAGCAGGTGCCACACGGAAGTTTTTTGATCATGCTTCGATGGCCTTGGGGGCCTCACTCACAGAGGCCCTGGGGCCTGGGGCACCTCTGGAAGCCCAATGCTCGACGACAAGCGTGCTCGTACGTGCATCACAGCAACATGTCTTGCCGTACAGTGGAGGCCCATGCCAAGAAACACCTTGCTTGCCTCCAGGGTGCCCTGGGTTTCTTCGGTTTCGATGGTTTTGCCATGAATCACGTGACGTTCCCACAACAAAAGTCAATGGACGCCCTGGGGTCTCAGGGTTGGGTTTGTTGTGGAAGGTTTTTTGTGGTCGGGCCCCTACTGTATGCGTCCACTGTACTCGCACCCTGCCTGTGCTGCGACCCCCTCTGGGTGGGGCCAGTCGGCAATTCGGATCCCAGCTCCAGGTCTCCCAGCTGGGGTCCGAGACAATGGGGCCGGAGGATCGCACCGCATCGCCGATGCATCGGCGATGCGGCTCGATGCGAAGCCGGACTTGCTCCACGCCGACGGTGACGATTCATCGCCGACGTCCCCGATGCATCGCCGATGTCGCCGGCGATGCATCGGCAATGCGGCGCGATGTTCCGACTCCATCTATCCGGATCCCATTTCGGAGGCCTCCAGTACAGTGGAGGCCCATGCTAAGAAACACCCTGCTTGCCTCCAGGGTGCCCTGGGTTTCTTGGGTTTCGACGATTTTGCTGTGGGAAGCGCGACGCTCCCACACCAAAAGCCAATGGATTCCCTGCGGTCTCATGGTTGGGTTTCTTGTGGAAGGTTTCTTGTGGACTGGCCTCGACTGTAGCGTGCTCGCGGCCTCGCCGGGCGGCGTGCGCCGTGCGCGACGGGGCCGCGCGGCGCGCAGCGGCCGCGGCGGGGCCGCGCGGCGTTTTGGCTCTGTGGCGCACCGCCGGCCCGCCAGGTGGACCTCCCGCAGGACGCCGCCACGGCGGAGCCGGGCAGGCCCCTGGAATTCGCGCTCTGCAGGGACCAGCGCGACCGCCCCCAGGCGCGGGAGGTTCGGGCGGCGACAAGGGCAGAGGACGAGGAGGAGGAGAATGGAGGAGGACGAGGGAGATGAGGAGAATGAGGAGAGCGATGAGGAGGAGGAGGAGGAGGAGGAGGAGGAGGAGGAGGAGGAGGAGAAGGAGAAGGAGAAGGAGGAGAAGGAGGAGGATGAGGAGGAGGAGGAGGAGGAGGAGAGGGACGAGGACGAGGACGAGGAGAAGGAGGAGGAGGAGAAGGACAGGATGACGATGGGGACTGGTTTCAGGCCTCCCAGATGGGGGCTGGAGCAGATGGGTCGGAGGATCGCGCCGCATCGCCGATGCATCGGCGATGCGGCACGATGTGGATCCCGATTTCCCCTACGCCCACGTCGACGATGCATCGCCGACGTCGCCGACGCATCGCCGATGCGTTGGCGATGCGGCGCGATCCCCCGACCCCATCCACTCGAACCCCATCTAAGAGGCCGTAAGGGACCAGCGCGACCGCCCCCAGGCGCGGGAGGTCAGGGGGACTTTTTGTACAGTCAGTAAGGTCCAGTTCGAGGTCGGAAGGGGCTCGGTGGTTCCTTGGGTTTGCGCGCGTTCCGTGGTTTTCTTGATGGCGAGCCTCTTCGGTGCCCCCTCTGATGGTACGGCCGTTCCTTCTAATGTCACGGCTCGACTGGAAAAAAGCTCATGCTTGTTATTGATCTCGGAAGCCGGGCAAGGGCTGCTAAATCCGTGGCTGCCAAAATCGACCTCCGGGAAGTTGTCTTCGTCCTTCCGGGAAGAAGCCCGTCGACTGTTTCGCGGGCCGCGCCTCATCCCGGGAAGCTGTCTTCTCTCCCTCCGGGAGGGCCGTTGTGGCAGCCACGGTCTCAGCAGCCCTCGCCCAGCTTCCGATGACCGCTCCCTGCCTCGGCAGCCCGCTGGCACCCCGCCGCTCCCGCAGCGCCCCGAGAGCCGAGCGCGCTGCACCCTGCCCATCGCGCCGGGCCTCGTCGCCCGGCCTCGGGCCCCCAGGTTGCCAGCTCGCAGGTCGGTGCGGCCCGGAGGAGGCCGCGCGGAGGTGGGGTCCAGGGCTCTCCTGCTGTGCTCTCTTCGAGGGGCCCAAGGACACACGAGTAGATGCACACAGGATAACACGAGTCCCCATCTTGCCCCATATGTTCTGAGTTCTTGTCTTCCCGCCCGACTTCCCATAGTTTGCCATCCTTTCTTGGGGATCGACGACTAATTGTGTCTGTGTGTTTATCCACCTCCTGATCTTTCACGGTGCTGCATTTGTTCTCCTGCCGCTCCCCCAAGGGAGGGAGGGTCCGAGATAGGAGAGCGGCGCAGACCGAAATGTGCGGAGTTCCGCGCGAATCTTCTCGGATCGGCGCTGGGCCCCCCTGGCGGCGCCTCCACCGCCGCGCCCGGCGCGCTCCGCGCACCGGGGAGGGTGTTCTGGCGCCGATCCAAGACATCCGCGCGGAGCTTCCAAAGTTTACGCGTATGCAGTTGTTGTTGTTGTTGTTGTTGTTGTTGTTGTTGTTGTTGTTGTTGTTGTTGCTGTTGTTGTTGTTGTTGTTGTTGTTGTTGAACTCTAATTATTGAAGAATAATTATTGTTGATCCCCCCCCTCCGGCGGACATTGTATTTTTTCAATTGAAGTGCCCCTTCCGGGGCTCGCACCCTGTTTTTTATCAGGGAAAGTCGTGGGCATCAAACTGCGTTGTTGGCCCCCCGGACAACAACAACAACGGCTCCCGCCTGATACTTCCTCCAAATTTACTCAGGACCCCCGCCCCCGCCTGGGACTTCCCCGCCTGGGACTTTACTCAGGGCGCCCGTCTGTCTGGTTCGTCCGTTTGTTTACCTCCTCTTTTGCCCCCCTCCCCTCCTGCTAACCTCTTTCGTCCTCCATCCATCCTCCCCCCCTTGCCCCTTCCCTCCTCCCTCCCTCCCCCCACTCTTTTCCTCCTCGCTCTCCCTTCCTCCTTCCCCCTGCTCTTCCTGTTTTAGGGGCTGCGCCAACTACACGTGGCGAGTAAAAAAGATATACCCCCAAAGGGGTATGACCGAAGACGAAGAGGGTGGGTATCGAGGGTTTGGGATTTACATATTGAGTGACGCGCGCGCATATAAGAGCGATCAGTCTTAAGATGGTTGTTGTTGTTGTTGTTGCTGTTGGTGTTGTTGTTGTTGTTGTTGTTGTTGTTGTTGTTGGTTGTTGTTGCTGTTGTTGTTGTTGTTATTGTTGTTGTTGTTGGTGTTGGTGTTGTTGTTGGTGGTGTTGTTGTTGTTGTTGTTGTTGTCGTTGTTGTTGGTGTTGTTGTTGTTGTTGTTGTTTGTTGCTGTTGAACATTATTAATTCTAAAGAATAATTATTGTTGGGGCCCCTGGTGCACGGCCCCCCTGCGCCGCCTAGGCCGCAGCTACATTTTCATCATTTTCGTGAGGAAGCCTCAGGTAATACGATGTCATCAAGATCCGGTTGTTTTGTTGTAATCCGTTTTCCCTTGCAAAAAACACTATAAAATGACATTTCTTGTTCTAATATAATCAAATTTCAAGAATCCCTTGCAAAAAATAAGGTAAAGTGGACATTCGCGCGCGCAAGACGAAATCCTTCCAAAAGCTTAGTGTTCGGAGCGATTTTAACATAAAAACATCAAAAAACCAATGGTTTTTCAACAAAAAATGTCAAAATCTCATCCCGCGCGCTCTTGCGGATTCGTAGGAAACCCAACACTTTTTAAACATTTCTGTCAAACGGGCTTTTGCGAGCAACTTTTTCGAACTTCTGCGACAACGGTTGCGCACCTGCCAGGGCCATCATCCCTGTCAAATAATACCATGCGGGACACATTCGTTTTTTCTTCGCGCGCGCACGCCGAAATCTCCAAAAACCATTGGGTTTTTAAGAATTTTAGCACCGCGCATCATAAAATCACACGAATCGCACCGTAGGTCCTCGAAAAACACCTGCACGACTTTTCAAAATTTCCACCCGCGCGCGCTGTCCGAATCCTAAAAAAACCAATGGTTTTCCAACATTTATGTTACATGAGCTCGCGCGAGCTACTTTCGCACGCTCTTGCAACGGGGTTCGCGCGCCTGCACCCTCAGGAATTTGCCCTAAAGATGTGATCAACCATCTTGTGCGTACGTACCATGATCATGTGTACCATGTACCCTACGGGTCATATGCAACTGATGCCTTTGCGTATTCCCATTTCGGCACAGGAATTTGATTAAAAAATGTGACGAACTCCTCTCTCTCTGTCTCTCTCTCTTTGTCTCTCTCTCTCCCGCTCTCTTCCTCTGTCTCGCCTTCTCTCTCTCAGTGTCTGTACCATGTCTAGCACTGGTAACAAAGGTATTTGTGTATCCCCACATCCGCCCAGGAATTCCACAAATGTGACCAACTATCTTGCGAGTACGTATCATCTCATGTGTGTCGTGCACACTATCAAATGTAACAGAGTTGTGTATTCCCATCATCCCAGGAACTTGACCCAAAAATGTGACCAACTCCGCTCTCTCTGTCTCTCTCTCTGTCTGCTCTCTGTCTCTCTCTCTGTCTCTCTGTATTATGTATTGTATGGCACAATTGCACCATGCTGGGCACATGCGCGCCCCGAATAAGTGACCAAGTTCTGTGGGTGTGTACCCCACGCCAGTGTAGTAGCCACGGTCGTCCGCACGCCACGAAGTGAAGTGTCCCAACGTCATAGGGCGGGAAGCTGGGTTTGGGTGGTCGCGAAGAGTCGTTTGGATATTTGGTAGAGCTTGTAATGCCCCCCCACGAAGTGGGGGTATTGCCTGGTGTCGTATGAAAACCCTGGCACTGGGGAGAACACCACGCGTTCGGGTAAAATGATTGTTGTTGTTGTTGTTGTTGTTGGTTCGGGGGAGGAGGGAGGCAGAGAGGGAGATGGGGAAGGAGCGGGAGGGAGGGGCGAGAGAAGGAGGGGGCGGGGTGGAGAGAGGAGGGGCTGGGAGGGAGGGGAGAGGGGGCGGGGACTGGAGGACGGGGTCGTGTGTGGGGGGGGGGGGGGCACCGTAGAGGATGGGATCGTGCGGGGGCGGAGCGGCGCTGGGAAGGGACTAGGGGGAGGGGAAAGGGAACAAGTTAGATGCGCTCGCGTCATATCTGACGTCCTACCCCTCTCTCCCATTCCATACCATGGCGTAGACGGCGTAGACCTCTTCTCTATTCGCACAGTCGGATGTCGAGCAAGGCAATGATCCCGTAGAGCACGGCATAGCAGGGCGTAGAAGATCACGGCAGATCGTAGTACGTCATAGCATGGCGTGGCGTTGCGCAGAGAAGAATTGCATCACAAATCATTGTAACACACAGAATGGCATCGCACAGCGGCACAGCAGAACAGAACATGGCATAACATGGCGTTGACGATCAAAGCGTAGCATGGCATAGCATGGCGTGGCACTGCGTAGTCAAGCACTGCATATCCTAGCATTGCAGCTGAAGGAATGGCATCGCACAGCGGAACACCACATAGCACTGCATTGCATGCCGTGGCATGGCACTGGAAATAATGACGCCAGCGCTGCAGCAGGAGCACGATTCGGAACGAGCGGAAGCGCGGAAATGAGGCCAGCGCTGCAGCGGGAGCACGATTCGGAACGAGCGGAAGCGCGGAGATGAGGCCAGCGCTGCAGCAAAAACATGATTCGGAACGAGCGGAAGGCCGAACATGAGGCGTTTCAGCTGGAGCAGCAGTTTGAAAAAAAACACAAGCGACAACCTAACTCCCTGGAATCCTGTGTGTGTCTGTGTAAAAAAACAGTGCGCGGAAGGAGGCCGAAAATCTTCTGGACGTCCCCAGGAGAGAGAGGAGAGAAATATTCATAGTGTGCAATTGTGGAGGGAAGGGGGACGGGCACGACGCGGGGGAGCTGGACCCGGCGGGGATGGCGGAGGGAAAGGGGAGGGGGGAGGGAGTCGAGGAAGCGCCAGCAGTGAAGGCGCGTGGATTAGCGGTGGGCCCCTTTTCCACGGCAAGGCGGCGCGCGTCTGTCGCCAAACGAGGCGGCATTGGCGCCGTGTCTCGGAAGTTACCCTGACCGATCCGAGGATCCCTCATCCTTACCAGCGCGTGCCCGAGGGAAGGAGGGAGGGAGGGAAGGACGACCATGATCTCAGTCCGCACACGCCTCTTTATCTTGCCTCTGCCTCCGTCTCTTTGCCCCAGGCGGAACTGTTCGTGCCGAGGCACGACCGCCTTGCACCGTGCCGCCTTGGGACCTCTTAGAGTGGCCCATGAAGCCTCGGCGCCCTTGAGCCTCCTGAGGGGGAAAAACAAAAATCATATGACAGCTCGCCGCTTGGGCCCCACCGCCAGCCCAAACGTTGAGCATAAATCGGGCGTAGCCCCGCATTCGAATGCCATAGATTGCGCCATAGGTTGTGCCATAGGTTGCGCCCTCGGCGGCTGATAATAACACCGTCTCCTATCGGTTGCGCCATAGTTTGCGCCCTCGGCGGCTGAGAATACAACCGTCTCCTATCGGTTGCGTCATAGGTTGCGCCCTCGGCGGCGGAGAGTACAACCGTCTCCTATCGGTTGCGCCATAGGTTATGCCCCCGGCGGCCGAGAATACAAGCGTCCCCTATCGGTTGCGCCATAGGTTGCGCCCTCGGCGGCCGAGAATACAACCGTCTCCTATCGGTTGCGCCATAGGTTTCGCCCTCGTCGGCCGAGAAATCAAACCGTCGCGCAACGGGTGCGACCAGTCTGTTCAGTGCAGTTCAGTTCAGTTCAAGGGGCCCAAGGACACACAAATAAATACACAAACCCAAGGATTCCTCTAGTTTTCAATATGTTCCGGATTTTCGTCTTCCCCTCACTTCCCACATTTTCCTGGGAGTCGACGATGAATTGTGTCTGTGTGTCGAGGAGGAGGAAAAGGAGGAGGAGGAGGAGGACGAGGAGGAGGAGAGAGGAGGAGGGCGGAGGAAGAGGAGGAGGAGGAGGAGGAGGAGGAGGACCAGTGTAAACCCAAGAGCCAACTACGAGCAGGAGGATTAGCAGGAGGAAAAGGAGAAGGATAAGGAAGGAGGACGAGGACGAATAGCAGCAGCAGGAACTGGAGTGGAAGGAGTGGGAGGAGCAGGAGGAGCGGAGGAGGGAAAAGGGGTGGCGACAACGATGAGAAAGGACTCGGATGCAGAAAAGTGGCCCAGGCTGGGGCGAGAGCGCTATTCTGAACGACGCAAGCACATAATAGATACGTTTAGATACGTTTTCCTTCTTTCTTAGATACGGGAGGTATGGTTCGTGCCAAATTTAAAGTACGGGGTCATTTTTATATACGAATGTGTATGTGTATGTCTATATATATATATATGTATAGATGCTTAGATATGTTAGATACGGTTCAATACGGCGCCCATCGCTGGAAAACATGTCCACCACAAATAGATACGAATAGATACGGCGCCATGTCTCCACTGCCAGGCCGTAGGCCGCTCAATGACTACGAACAGGGAAGACAATACACATGCCAGTCAGGACGACGGTGATGATGATGAGGAGGAGGAGACGGAGGAGAAGGAGGAGGAGGAGGAGGAGGAGGACGAGGAGGAAGTGAAATGGGAAATCATGGCCGGCCCCGCCTGAGCGAGGAGGGCATTCGAACACCATGTATCATGTTTCGTGCCCCTTCCCACTCCTCCAGGGAGGCCGCCTGAGCGAGGAGGGCATTCAAAACCAATGTAATTTATCAGGTCTCATGCCCGTCCCACTCCTCCAAGGAGGCCCCGCCTGAGCGAGGAGGGCATTCGACAACCATTGTATGTGTCAGATTTCGTGTCCCTCCCACTCCTACAGGGAGGCCCCGCCTGAGCGAGGAGGGTATTTGAAAACCATGTTATGTATCAGGTTTCGTGCCCCTCTCACTCCTCCAGGGACGAACGTGCTTCCTGAACAGCCGTCGTCTTCCTCCGCAAGCCCCCGCCGAGAGCACAGCCAACAGCATTCGTTCTGACAAAAATTAGATACGAATAGATGGGTCGCGGCACAGACATTTTTCAAACATAGATGCGAATTGATATGTTTTCTGGGAAAATGAATACGGCCCATGTTTCAGATATGCTTGAAACATAGACGCGTTTAGATACGGAGCGCTCCCTCGCAGGCCGGGGGGCGCGCATCTAAATAATATGTGTATATATATATATGTGTATGTATGTATGTATGTATGTATGTATGTATGTATGTATGTATGTATGCATGCATGCATGCATGCATGCATGCATGCATGCATGCATGTATGTATGTATGTATGTATGTATGTATGTGCGTATGTGCGTATGTCTGTATGTGTGTGTATGTGTATGTGAATGTGTATGTGTATGTATATGTGTGTATGTGTATGTGTATGTGTATGTGTATGTGTATGTGTATGTGTATGTGTGTAGTTTATATGTATATGCGTATGTGTATGTATGTATGTGTGTATGTATGTGTGTGTATGTGTGTGTATGTATGTATGTATGTATGTATGTATGTATGTGTGTGTATGTATGTATGTATGTATGTATGTATGTATGTATGTATGTATGTATGTATGTATGTATGTATGTATGTATGTATGTATGTATGTATGTATGTATTGTCGTCGTTGCAGGAAATAGATACGATGAGCTTCTCGCCTGCACCAGGGCGCGATCGCATCTAAGCGCATCTATTACTTTTACACTCGTCTTACAGGGCAGCGCCGATCCGAAAATGAGGCCGACGCTGCAGCGGGAACATTCTGTGAAACATCGTGAGAAATCAACACGCGGAGGGGGGGCCAGACATCTTCCAGACAGGGTCAGGTCTTTTTTGGCTGGGGAGAAGGGGGAATGGCGCAGGAGAGACAATTCTGAGGGCGAGGGAGGGTGGGCGCGGGGTGGGGGGGGAGCATGGCGAGGATGGGGGTGGCGATGGGGGCATGCTTTGCCCCCGCCTCCAGTCTTGACTCCCTAAAACTTGGCAGGCGAGGGAGCCGGACGGGGCTAGGACGAGGATAGAGCCGTTCCCGAGCTTTCAGGAGCGCTTTCAGAGCGTTCTGGAACGCTCTCAGAAGGCCGCGGCGCCTGATGCAGTCTCCAGGGCCGCTGGACCTCAGAGATTCTCGATTTATCTCCACTCGATTTTCCGAAATTGTCCTCGTCCTGACTCCGTCTTATATTAGAGGGAGGTGCGAAGGGGGGACGACCCGACCAGCGCGAGCCGCTGCCCAGGTCTCGTGGCTGCAGGGCGCTTCCCCGAGCGCGGCGCGCCGCTTCCACGGGCAGCTGA